GGGGTGTAATCTGAAAACGAGTTGGGATGTCAAAGCTGGGGGTCAAAGGTCAAAAGGTCAAGAGGTGTAAAATAAAGGGAACATTCACTCCTTAACTTAAGGTATAGGGAGGAAATGCAGAATTGCGGCACAAATCTAAACGGCTCGACCTAGGCTTGTGATAGCGGTGTATAGCATCATGTAGGAAAAGCCATCACGTGTGCCGAAATTGGAGGTCACAGGTCAAAGGTCAATGGGCACAGGGCAGATTTTATACATTTCTGAGGACATGGTCTGACAGGAGCGATTGAAAACTTTTTTGTTTCAGCGGTGACCTAGCATTTTTATGGCTTTATTGAAAGGACCATGAAATGTCCCTTCCGCTGACATGCGAAGATAGTAAGTGTCGGATAACCTTTTGACCCTCAAGAGGAGGGTTAAACATGGATTTGTTGACTGTTAACAAAGGATGAACCTGCTTTTGCTATTAGAGCCCCTCCCCCCACCTCCCCTTCCCCACCTCCCCCCACCCTCCCCCTACCCTCCATCTGCGATATGCGCGTGTGTCCTAACAATGATGTGTACGCAACTGCGTGTCTGCATATCTGCGCCTAACAAATGTGGTACTACGCACGACTGAAATTTTACGTTTTCGTAGGCAACAGACCTCAGATGAGCCCAGACGCTCTGCGGCTCTTTGGGTTTATAAATTATTTTGCGATATACAGTATCGGCAACCGTGTGCTACTGACTAGAAAAAACTCATACGAGTAAACACTTCCATGCAACCAATTAACCTTTGACAAAAGTTGTTTATGGTCAGGAAACACCATTTCATGTGTATATAGCAGCTACGTGGAATAAGCGTAGGGTATCCTCTCAATCTACACGTTACTAAATCTGAATATTATAAAAATGTTAAATGGCGATCATTTAGGTGTAACGCCATCACTCGCCCACATCTCAGACTTTCACACTCTCAAACATTTATTTTCACATAATAAATTACACATATAATTATCAAGAGTATATTAATGGAAGTTCTCCCATAATATACTCTTCGTTTCTATAATGTACGTCGATGGTTGCTCAATAAAAACTGACTTCTTCTCACTCACTCATTTGTGTCTTTTTTTATAGGGAGCTACAGTGTCATTGACAATTTCATTGTGCTAGGTGGTCAAAAAAATCTGTCGGTGTCCTAGCAAATGATAAACAAATTGTAGGAGCGGTGATTATAACTTAAACCCTAGTGATTCCACTGATTATGGAACTTTTACTTATGCAAACAAACCCTGAAGTTCTAGCGATATTCTGATGAATTTCTGGGATCCAAAATGTTTTTGGAAAACTGCCAAGTTTTAATTTTCATCACTGTTTTTGGTGAACATTGTGTTTTTGCAGTTTGCTTCATTCATGTCTTAATTGCCTATGTTTCATGGGTAAAATCTAATTTATGAATGATGTAAAACCATTCTGCTAGGTTTAATTATAAAAGAATACATGTGTGTAAAGAAGACCACTCTTAAAAGATATAGTTGTGGTAATTGTGTAGCTTGTGTCACTAAATCAACATATTGACCAGTGTAAAAGCTAAATTAGGCAGCTACATGTTTAGGAAATCTTCCCTATTCTGCTAAATACAATGTATTACATTTGGACAGTTTTTGGTTAGTTTTGCATTGTTAGTGTCAGTCCGACGTTGACTAATATTATAACTTTTATGCATTGCATTATTTTAGTTCTCATTGCAACATGTGAACATTTTGAAAGCGGCCAGCAGAGGAGGAGAGGGGCGAAACCGCTCGTCTGGTAAGCATGTGCACAAATACAGGCGGCAGTTTGATGAACAAGTAACAGTCTGTAATACTTCCCGTTTTGTGACGTGACGTGATGTGTCCCATTTGTGTCAGATTGATGTGTCGCCATTTTGTGTTGTGTCCCATTTGTAATGATTCATTAATTTTTAGTAAATTTTCAACTTTGCATTGCCTTTAAGTCCTCACTTTTTGGAAGGCAATTGCCATTAGGAGACCTGGTAAAAACTACTTGGGACAAAGGGCATGGTAAGTCATATTCACTTTGTCTCGGATTTTTAATGCAGTACTTGATTCTTCTGTTCCTAAATTTCTTTGTGTCTGACATATATAACATTTTTTTTAGACTAACTTCAGTTAAACCCTTGAGATTATACATCATTTCTTGTTTTTTCAAAGTGCTCCGTGCCTTCAAACTGATCGAAAACACTGCACGTGTTATCGGCTTTTCAATCAGCGACAGAAATTTACAGTGTCAAGGTTCGGCACAATAGCGGAGAAATTCACGTAACAAATGATTGGTGCCACCATATAAATCTATATCTGTGGACAATCCTGCCTGCAAAGAGTACTAGTGGGTAAGCTGTAATGAATTCGCCATAGGACTGTTATTTGATCAAGTATTGGGAAAAAAATTGAATTATTATCATAATTATTATTGAACAATTATTTTTTAAATGACTGGAAACAATTTGTAATAAAAATATAAGTATTAATTTATTTATTTTTTTGTGTTTCAAAATGGTGGTGGAAATGGTGAAACTGATTGAAAGCCCTGGTATTTGTTCAGGGCGAGTAGATAAAGCATATAGCTACCTAGCTGCTTGCTTTGCACAGATCACGCGTAGTGCGAAGGACTATGAATTGTCATAGGCGGTGGGTGCGGTGGGCGGGAGGGTTAGGGAGCAAGAGAGCGTTGTTTTGGTGTACATGACATGGATGCACGATGCTTGCCTTGCTGAGATCTCATGCGTTGAGTACCCTAGGGAATCTTATAGGCAGAGGTGAGGCGAGAGTGGGTGCGTGTACGTGATGTGAATGGCTGCGCGCTGCTTGTTTTGCAAAAATACGCATGTGCAGGACTAGGTAATCTTACAGACGGGGCTAGCAACGGTACCTGAGATGAGAGTGTGTTGGCCGCAAGTGTGTGTTGTGTGTGTGTGCTGCGTGCGTGCGTGCGTGCGTGCGTGCGTGTGTGCGTGTGTGTGTATGTGTGTGTGTACATGACATAGATGTGCGCGGCTTGCCTTCCAGAGATCTCGCGAGTGCCGGAGACTAGGTAATCTTATAGACGGGGGTAGCAATGGTACCTGAGATGAGTGTGTGTGTGTGTGTGTGTTTGACATAGATGTGTGTGGCTTGCCTTGCAGAGATCTCGCGCGTGCAGGACTCCGAGGTCGGTGATGGCACGACGTCCGTCACCGTGCTCGCATGCGAGCTCCTCAAGGAAGCCGAGATGCTCGTTTCGAGCAAGATCCATCCGCAGACAATCATCGCCGGCTGGAGGCTTGCCGCCACCGAAGCCCTGCGCGCACTCGAGGCCGCCGCCATCGACAACGGGTACGTAGGGGGCGCCGCCATCGACAACGGGTATGTAGGGGGCGCCGCCACATGCCGCTATTGACAACGGGTACATAGGGGGCGCCGCCGCGCACCGCGATTGACACCGGGTACATGGGGGCCGCCGCCGCGCGCCGCCATCGACAATGGGTACGTAGGGGGCGCCGCCGCGATTGCTGTAGTAGAAATGCGTGCCTTTGCGGTCTTCTCGCACGTTGTGCTGGTGGGCAAAATGACAGTGAAATGTATATCTGCTCCTGAGTTGTTGTTTTTTTCACTAGGTGTAGTGCCTGGGTTAACTAGGATGCATGGTTTTGATCAATGTTTTCTATGATTTTCTGTGCTGACTGTTCCTAAGGTGCTACGGCTTTACTACTTACCGTGGTTTTACTGTTAACCTTTCGACTATCTTCACCCTTAAGTATTTTTGAGAAGCCTGTATTGCACTAGATGTTATCAGTGAGAGCACATGGCACTCGGAAAAAGAGACCTATTAATATTATCTAGATTCACCGTGCGTGACCAAGTTTGAGGCTCTTAACAGAACAAAAACGACGAGCACAATGTCGTAAGCGCTTGCTGGGCACGTCGTCAGGCACCTCAGAAGGTGTCAGTCGCCACCCTAAAATCATCACAAATTAAAAAAACCCAGAGTCGAATCGATCCGTGTCTGAAATCGCCGACGATCTACTGTCGTGACGTGTGACGTGCACTCTGGGGCAAAAAAAACCCGAGACGAATCTCTCCGTGTTTGAAATTGCCGGCGATCTGTCATCGTCGTGACATGTTAAGTGAGCTCGGGGGAGGGGGGGGATCTCTGTGTGGCGGCTGAGAAATTTGAACCGAGGACAGTGTGAATGCAGGGCGGAAACGTAGGTTGTCCAGTGCGTGGCATTGTTCTTTTCAGCGCAAGCGCCGGAGAAGATTCAGAGCACGACCTGATGAACCATCGCGCGAACGAACGCTCAGCTCGGGAAGAGTGCGTCAGCAGCTCACAAAAGAGCACTTTGCGCCATACTGCCGTCGGGAGCGGAGCCGTGCTGAGGGCTGAAGGTAATGCAGTAGCAGCGGCCTGACACGTGGCCTGCCACGGTGGCGCCGGTAGGCCGACCGGCAGGTGTGGCAAAGAACGGGTGGGTGGGGGGCATGGTGATGCCGCAAAGCTTTCTCGAAACCAAAAATTTGCACTTTTTCAAATATTTCGTGGTATGGTACTACATTGCACTGTCGTTTTTTCCCCCTTTGCAACGTTATATGACTTATTAGCGTCATTCACATTGATATTTTCGAAAATTTATAAAAAGTTGTGTCCCTATGAAATCTAGATTGGGCATTGGGTCAATTAAATAAGCACTCTGCGTTCCGTCACCAAACACGTGAGGTCATGTGACAGGCTTTTTTGGTTATCCGATAGAAAGAGCTTTCCGTTTTGGTGTCGCGACGACCATACCATAAAATGCCCAGCTAAGCATGAAGCGAGGCTGATATTATTATTATTTATTATTATTATTTTTT